AGCCATCATTTGGCCCCTCCCACACCCACCGCAATGTGTTTTTTTTAAATAATCCTAGGTGGAGGAATCATTATTCTCCCCAAACACATTTGGGGAGACAAGGGGGACACGGCATGATGTAGGGGGGCCATGGCCCCCTCTGGCCCGCCCTAGCAACGCCACTGCACCCAAACACTGTAACTGTCACCCTCACAGCCTGTCACCCCCGACTATCACCCTCACATCCTACTCCCCACCACTGTCACCCTCACATCCTGCCACCCACCCACCATGCCTGTCCTATACACACACACACAGATAATGTATTCAATACACACACTACATCCATGACACAGGAACAGACACTGCATCCACTGCACACACTGTGGCGAAAGCCACTTTGCCACTGGGGTCTGGAGGGAACTACTTGCCAGCTTTTCACCCTGTGACTATGGCCCCTGCAATAGACCTGGCTAAAAGACTTCAAACAGGCTCTGTTCATGCAATTGGGACTATATGGTTCATTTACCAAACAACCACACAAACAGAGACCACACTAGAGCTTAACACCTATTAACAACTTGGAACGTTTCTCACCGCAGTGTTCTAATTGTACATCTAGGTGGCCGCGATTCCTATGAACAGCCACGAGGTAGCGGCCATGAATCTCATGGAACTAAAATCGGACACAGAAACTCCCGAACACCGCTGGACTTCCATCATCACCTGCGTTCGTTTCTATTCAGCTTAGAAGGGCACAGTTCAGTGAGCTCCAGGGTAAGACTATTGACTTTGTTCGGTAGTTTGTTGGTTTGCAAACTACCAAACTAGGCCGGCCGCAAGCCCTGATTCTCTGGAACTGTTTTGGGCATGGGACCATGCCTGTGATCGGTCAAATACATGACTTCCATAAAATTTCTGAACCCATGAACTAATCTGGGTGATTTTTAGATATGTTGGTCACCCAGATCAGGGCTATCAGGAGATTTAACATTTGTGGGGATTTTACGTGTTTTAAGGTGTTTTTTGTGTTTGGGGATAATTGAATTTAGTATAGTACTTGACTCAATTATCTCCTAAGTAAAGGGGAAGGCTTACTGTATTATGTGGGGGAGTGCCTTAGATTGTAACTCTATTTTGATTGGTGTATACATTTGTGTCCCTGTCCCCAACAAGATCCGTGTGGGCGTAAACCTTGCTTGGGGATTGTTATAAAAAGCCAGTGTGGCCCCAATTGAGTCCTGCTTAACCCTCAACACATAGCTTGGTCTAGTGATTGGAGAGGAACTGCTATTCTGCTATATCACTAGCTCTTATAAGCTATACAGCTATCAGAGTCTTATATATCAGAGGTTGAGCCAGGGTGGCAAGAACCCAGCTAAGCTATGGCTGTGCTTGTGGTGTCCGATGCGGTGCTTACGGTCTTCAGCGTCAGCTAGGAAGCATCTGTTGGCGGAGGTACCCAGTAGGGGTGCCAGGTGATCCATCACACACACATAACACATTCACTACACACACTGCATACAATACATACACTGCATCCACTACACAAACAGACATTGCATAACATAATGGATGTTGGCGTGCTTTTGGTCGAGGGTGCATTATGTGCTGTGTGGAGCGTTGCCATTGCAACCCGCTGCTCACAAGTGGAGAAGCTGCAAGAGGGTTAGATCAGACTTCTGGGCCCCCTCTCCACACTACACAGCATAATTTGTCACTGCATGACCAGGGAAACTAGTGTCCCCTCTCCCTCACCACAGGTAAGAGGCAGGGAGGGGGGAATACACTTATTTATACATTTAAAAAAAAATCATCAGCCCTCTACATACACTACATGTGCTACACAGACACTGCATCCACTGCACACACTGACACACTGCATCCACTTCACACACTACATCCAATGCACACACCAAACATAATCTGCATCCACTACACTTCACCCAATATACAGACACAACACAGACATTGCATCCACTATACATACTGCACACACCAAACATAATCTGCATCCACTACACACACTCTCTGCATCCACTACACAGACACTGCACCTACTACACAGCATCCACTACACAAACACATACACTGCACCCAATACACATACACTACACAAATACAGGCACTGCATCAACTACACTCTTTGTATCCACTATATACATGCACACAATGCATTCACTGTGCACACTGCATCTCTTACACAGACACTGTATTCACTACACACACTGCATAACATAATGGATGTGCGTGAGGTTTAGTGCAGGTGGCAGCATTTCGTACTTCGACCCAGGCAGCACAATGTC